TATTCTATTCGTTTATGGAATTTTTAAACAGGTACAAAAGTAAAAAGATCATTTATATAATAGTTCTTAATCAAAATGTTTCTCGCATGAATGTATTACCCTATCTTCTTGTTTTTATGATTAATATACATATGTTATAGGGAAGTTTATACAGAAAAACAAAATGAACCTTCAGATAAAAGTTAATTTGATATTCAGGAAAAATTTTTCACACAACTTCAAAGCAATACTTATTTTGATCCAGGTTGAAATTATTATAACTTTTTAGATAACTCAATTGTTACAATTTCACTCCTCTCCTTGTATCCAAATTTATAAGCATAAGGAGCTAAAATCTTAGAAGGCGAATTTGTTACCCATTAAGATGTTAATTTACAATCATTATTAATATCAAAAGGAAGTTATAATTAGGAAAACTAATTATTTACCCAAATAAAATGCAATTTTAAATTGAATATTTATATATATAAAAAATATCAAAAATTTAAACGTTCTTCTTATTTTATACTAATTAATATTATATGATATTGTTAATTTTTAATATAAATTTTTATCAACAAGTGTCAATTTTTGTTGATTATTATATTTATCTTGTAAAAAGAAAGAGAATTAAAGCTATTCTTAAATTAAAATAGATTTTAAGGATTTGTTCATTCAAAAAACCAGTAAAAGAGCAAAGATTTAAATGAATTTAATTAAAGATTACGCTTATGTACCCAAAAAAAAAAGGTTTATATAAGAAAATTTTTTTCAACTGAACGAAAGCAATATAAAAGGACATTATTATTCACACCAAACACAATTTAAATAACAATATTTAATTAAAATTTATGATTCTTTTTTTTTCAATTATTGTATTTCCTTTATAATTATAATGTTTATTACCCTATAAATTAAATCCTAAACACCTACCTCAAATACTCTTACATTGTTTATGTGATTTAGTCAAGCAACTCTATCTGATTTAGTTGGTACTTCCTGCAAGTCTAATAAAACTATTTAATTATTTGTATGCTTATAACAATTATATGGGAACTTTTTTCTTGAAGGAAGCTGTAATTATTAAAAATTTAGAGGAATTGTTCTCAATTATATCAAGGAATAAATCTTAAAACTTAGTATTTTTTTAACTTTATTAATAAATTAATATTTAGAATTTATTATAATACTATTTAAGGGTTTTTTTGTAAACTTCTTAAGAATCTATTATTGTTTTTCATATCATCAAATTATTGTAATAATGAATCTATACCTTGAATCTGTAAATTTTTAATCTATTATTATTTCAATTTTATTTATTAGTCTTAGATTATTAATATTTATTATTGAAAGCATTCTGTAAATTTATTCGTAAAACTTAAATCTTTTAGAGCTATAAAATTATTTCTAATTCTTTCCAACAATTCAAGATTTCCTTATTCAGATTTTTTTGTTCTTGAATATTCTTTGTTTATCCATTAATTGATTATTATCGAAAATCTTCTTCGATTATAAAACTTTTTTGTTTTTAGCAAGAAATTTAAAGCAAAAATTACTTAATTCTGGGTTGGGTTCTTTCTTAAGTGAGAAAAATGATCTAGAACTTCAAAAATGAATAATACTGGAATATAATACACTTCATGTTAATCTGGATATGATTTGATTCTACAAATAATATATGCATTTCATACACAAATGGATACTCTAATTTACATCCATATCAAATAATTTATAATCTACTTTTATATAGTAAATGTAATGATGAAAATTATTTGGATAAAACTATTGCAAAAAGTTTTGCCTGTATAAATAATTTTAAAATTTAATGATTCAAGATATTAAACATGCAAAGATAGATATTATAATCATAAAGTTCATTGAATGCCAAATATTATTCCTTTAAACCATACTTTCCATGTTCATAAGAAATTGTTGGAACCAACTTCATCATTAAATGAGAATCAAAGAATACTAAAACATGCTTCACCATAAATGAAGTCAACTTGTCATTTTTTATATTTGTGAATATATCAATATATATACAGAAATTAGCTAAATAATTAAATTATTTATTATTAGATTTTTTTAATTAACAATCTTTTTATGATTAAATTATCATCAACATGGGTAATTAAGGTTTCGACTTTTAACCATACGAAAGTTATGGTCAATCTTTAATTAAATTTTTAATACCTATCTATTTTTATATATCATTTTAGGAATTTATTTCTCGAAATATATAGTACTTAATAATGAAGAAGAATTTTCTAATATTTTATCAAGTTATCTGCTTAATACAATTCAGAATTTGCAACCCAATAATTACAACATCAGAATAATCAAGATCCTTCTTTGTAGGCTAATACTTGTTAAACACATCAGCAAAGTAGTGAAGCATGAGTGAATACATTCATATATTAGCATTTTTAAATTAATATGCATAAAGCTTTCATATATTAGATAAAAATAATATACTATTGGGAAAAATAATCAAAATTTCATTGGAGTTATTACTTATTTACTTTAGAGAATTTGATGAGATAATATTTATCTAGGATAAAACATTTTGTACTTAGAAAATATAGAAGTAATAAATATAATAAAATGATACTATTCATAAAATCTAAAAATTATAAGAATGAATGTTTTCAATAAAAAACTAACATTAATTTATAGTGTGGAAATAGTATGCTTAAAAAAAATCTATCGATAAGATATTTCTTATTTATTAATCAAAAATATCACAAGTTAAAATTATAAGGCCATTATTCAGGAATTGATCATTTAATTTATTATTATATATAATTAAATGGAGTATTTTTGGTTGTATTTAGTTTTTATATTAGTTGTCTTTGGCTGTATAGCAATTTTTGGAAAGAAATGCAAAACTTCAAAAGGGGATTGGGATGATGACAATTATCAATAACAATTGATGAATAACTAAGATCAGGAGATGAGTATGGTTGGTTACCACTACCACCATCACCATCACCATGAAGATTAAAATTAATAAGATAATAATGCTTCTTAAGCTGATTGAATTGAGATTATATCATTTGATCTTGAATAAATAAAAATTTGTTTTATTTTCATAAATATGTTAAATCCTCGGATAAATTAAAAAATAAAATGTAAAGCATTAATAATAAGTCATTAATAAATTACAGATCTATACTCCATAAAAAGGATGAATAATTAAAAATAATAATTTATATTATCATAAAATGAGGAACTAGATAGAGCGTAGCAAGCTTAAAATAATTAAGAAAAAAAAAGATTCATCAAAATATAATTAATTTATTTAATTAAGAATAATTTTTTATTATCACTCTTAATAGTATATTGATTTTAATCTTATAATTATTTAACGAGTTCTAGGACTAGTTAAAATCATTTACTTCTTTTTGATTCAAAAATACTACTACAAAAATTGGATAATAATCTCTAAAGGTTTTATTTGAAGATTGCCTAAATATAAAAGCACATTATAGTTTTCAATCATTGTAATTAAATATATAAATAATTTTAAATGTAAATACCTTGTTATAAACGTGAGTGCTCTTTTTGTACCAATTTTAAAGATAATAGATGAATCTAAAATATCTTATTACGTAGAATAAAAATCAAATAAAAGTAATAGTATTTAAAAACCTGGAATTCTACAATGTTCAATTCATAAATAATGATGAAATAATTGTTATTAATGCCAACAGAATTTGTTTGACTTAGAAAAAATTAAATTTTTCATAACTAATACATATAAATTGAGTAATAAATTAATATTATGAGATTCATTAAATCTGAATTTTTCATATTAATATGAGATTTATATGGAGAATTAAACATATATACTAATTTATTGAAAACTATTAAGCTGAAATCTTATTTTAGGGTTAGTAGTTATTATATAGAAAATTATATGAGAATAAGGAAATATATTTTTTTATCCTATTATTTTTTATTTATACTACTTAAATTTAAGAGATAATATGGATGTATTTCTTATAGAAAATTTTGTATTAATTAAAATAAATTGTAATTTCTATAGAAGATTATTGAATATGGAGTAATAAATAAAAAAATTGGAAAATGAAATGCTCTTTAGAAAGAATAAGAAATGGATTCTGGCGAATCATATAATTTTAAACATTTATTTACTGGGGTTTAGATTGAATTATTTGAAAAACTATTATGATATTATTTAATANAATAAATAAAAATTTGTTTTATTTTCATAAATATGTTAAATCCTCGGATAAATTAAAAAATAAAATGTAAAGCATTAATAATAAGTCATTAATAAATTACAGATCTATACTCCATAAAAAGGATGAATAATTAAAAATAATAATTTATATTATCATAAAATGAGGAACTAGATAGAGCGTAGCAAGCTTAAAATAATTAAGAAAAAAAAAGATTCATCAAAATATAATTAATTTATTTAATTAAGAATAATTTTTTATTATCACTCTTAATAGTATATTGATTTTAATCTTATAATTATTTAACGAGTTCTAGGACTAGTTAAAATCATTTACTTCTTTTTGATTCAAAAATACTACTACAAAAATTGGATAATAATCTCTAAAGGTTTTATTTGAAGATTGCCTAAATATAAAAGCACATTATAGTTTTCAATCATTGTAATTAAATATATAAATAATTTTAAATGTAAATACCTTGTTATAAACGTGAGTGCTCTTTTTGTACCAATTTTAAAGATAATAGATGAATCTAAAATATCTTATTACGTAGAATAAAAATCAAATAAAAGTAATAGTATTTAAAAACCTGGAATTCTACAATGTTCAATTCATAAATAATGATGAAATAATTGTTATTAATGCCAACAGAATTTGTTTGACTTAGAAAAAATTAAATTTTTCATAACTAATACATATAAATTGAGTAATAAATTAATATTATGAGATTCATTAAATCTGAATTTTTCATATTAATATGAGATTTATATGGAGAATTAAACATATATACTAATTTATTGAAAACTATTAAGCTGAAATCTTATTTTAGGGTTAGTAGTTATTATATAGAAAATTATATGAGAATAAGGAAATATATTTTTTTATCCTATTATTTTTTATTTATACTACTTAAATTTAAGAGATAATATGGATGTATTTCTTATAGAAAATTTTGTATTAATTAAAATAAATTGTAATTTCTATAGAAGATTATTGAATATGGAGTAATAAATAAAAAAATTGGAAAATGAAATGCTCTTTAGAAAGAATAAGAAATGGATTCTGGCGAATCATATAATTTTAAACATTTATTTACTGGGGTTTAGATTGAATTATTTGAAAAACTATTATGATATTATTTAATAAAAAATAAATTTATATAAAATGTGGAATACCATGGATTTTGGAAATAAAAATGAGAAAATAGTTTCTAAAACATTCAAGTAGTGTAATAAATATGATAAAAATTGAGTTAAGGAAGGAAAATGGATTGATTTAAAACAATTATTATTATTAGGAGTAATAATTGATGCCAAAGAATTGAAATTTGAGAATATGAAAATGAACAAAACATATGTAAATGGATAATCATGTTGAGTAAATATTTAAATGATTAATTTTAATAAATGTTGGTTTAATTCAATAAATAAAGATAGTGTACAGATAATGATTAAAATGAATTAAAGATAAGTATCAAAATTGAAATACAATTGGTAGTACTAATTATCAAATTATCTAATTATAGGTCTTTGTTCAATTATTTAAGAGGAATAATATAATTTATGGAATTAAGAGAGGATAAAAATAGATATTTAATGTAGATTTATATTTTAATTAAAAGTTTTAGCCGTGGAATTTATAATGAAGATGATAAAAAGAAGGTGTAGAACGAATTATTTTATAATTATTGAATTTAATTTTCAATAATTATAAAATAATACAAAAACTGTTTCTGAAAATCTCAAATATTTACATTAAAATATGTTAAGCCAAATAGATTAAAAAAAAAATTTCATTATATTTATTGCATATTTATCTATCACCAAATATTATTAAATTGCTTTATGAAGTTATAACTTTTTAAATTATAGCTATAAACATTCTCATTAATAAGTGTTACAGTTATTATTGAGAATATTTGGAAAGCAATTTTTAACCAAAAATAAATAATTATTACAACTTAAAGACAAGATTTTAGACCATTCTATAGAGTATAACATAAATTAAGAAAGGAAGAAGAGACAATAACATAAATATTACTTCCCTTTATTAATGAATATTTGACAAAATTCTAGTTTGTCTGTAAAAAGCTAGGTAGTTTTTTTTTTAAATTTGAATTTATATCTTTTTGAATTCTAATCATATTTTTAAAAAGCAATCACTTATTCAAAGCATATTTTATTAATTAAAAGTTTATTAAAATAATTTAATAGATATAAATAAATGTAGATAAGATAAGTTTTTAGTAGTAAAATAAAAAATGATTTTCAAGAAATAGAAAAAGAATTAGATGTATTTATTTGTTATTGTTATAATTTTAGTCTTTTTTTGATAAGATTAATAATTTTATAGATTAATTATTCATTCTAGAGTTTCCAATTTCCTAGTTTAACAAAACAAAATTAGAAATTTTCATTACCAAGAGTTGAATAATTAGATTTAATAGATTAATTTAAGTTTTCATCAGAAATTGTTTAAGATTGACACCATTAATAAATTCTGTAATTGTAAATCAAGTTAAATAATAATCGAATTAAGAACATTTATAATAATTATTAGAATCATAATTAAAGTAAACAGAATAATTAAGAATTAAATCTTTATCTTAATTCAATATTAAACCATTTAATTATTAAATTATTAAACAAAGTTATTTAATAAGAGAAGCGGTGTTGGGCAGTTGCTTTTAATAAAGATTGCTCAATTACAGCAGCAACATGTGAGAAATTAATAAAATTATATGAATTCAGGAAAGGAATGATGAAATAAATTCAAGTTTTAAATGAACACAAATCTTTTGTGACCACTTTAAATTTTATGAACAAATATAATTAGTTTATATACTATGGAGGGTTTATTTTTATTTGGTCGATCAATAGTAACAATTAATGGATTTTTTCATAAGCACTTAAAGAACACAGCATATAGATAAATTGCTTAATTATGAATTATAATGAAGATCTTATCATATCCAGTAGTAGCGATTTACTATTAAGTTTTGGATTAAGCAAAATGAATGGATCTTTTAATAAACAATCACAGATCATAAAAATGTATTTTATAAATAAGCTTAAATGAAGAATGCAATAAAGTTATTTCATGTGGATGGGATTAATTTCTATTAATTATAGAATATTAAAAATGTTGTAAAAAGTGGATCGTTATATAAAATATTAAAATTGATTGTTAAGGATATCGAATATGCTTTATCAATAATAATCTTTTCGCATTTCAACCTAATTAGGGCAATTTAATGCATATTTATGATATAAATAGTTTAAGTAAAAAATTAAATAAAACTAAACTTATTCCTATAAATTAAGGCGATGATGATTATGGATAATTCCCATTATAAATATAAAATCAAAAAGCTACTTTTGAGCAAGCACTATAATAATATCAACTTAATAAGAAAGACAGAAAATGATGAATATTAAATTGAGTAATCTATTCATTTTAACAATTAATGTATATTCGGATGTATATGTTTGAGAAGAAACTGAGAATTACTTTTGATTGATAAATGGAAAAAGAGACTGATAAAAAACAATGTAAATTAAAAATAACAAATTTGATTAGAGAAAAAATAGAAAGAATGAATTTAGGAAAAAGGAGATATATTCAAAACAAATCAGAAGAAATGTGACAAATAGTCAATCTATTTTAATAAACTTTTTTTTAAACATAATCTCTTCCACATATATTCGTTATCTGCTGCCTAAAAAATGTTTCTACAAATTTAAATCAAAATTAAAAGAAAGCAAACAATTCAGGTTAAGAAAAAATTTTTATAACTTTTATAACTCTACATTTTAATAAATATTTATAATTTTTATTTTTCATTCTAGATATAAATTAAATAAGAATATAAATTAGGAATCATATTTTAGGACAAAATAGATACAACTTTTTTAAAAAATACTTTGAATCTATACAATTCTATCTACCAACGACAGTTTTTTTCCAAATAGGAGGTTTGATTTAAGGCATGATAAAGTTTATAATATATTATTGATTAAAAGCTTATCAATCATTAACATGATCTTTACTTTCTGAACATATATTAATTTATCAATTATTTATGTAATGTATTAAAATAAAATAAAGGCATTTGAATTAATATATAAAAATCTTATAATATTTTTATAAATAATTATATCAACTCCTTGATCTATTCCTTTAATAGTTTTTAGAATTTGAATTAGTTCTTGAAAATTTATTTCTTCTATAGTTAAATCTAGATTTAGAGTGATTATTTCTTTTTTTTTATTTTCTTCTTTGTGATCCTGAATCAGAATTACTTTTTCTTTTTCTATTATTATTACTTTTTCTTTATTTATTATAATATTTATGACCTCTTTATGGAGATTAAGAAGCAGAACTTATGGATTATCTTCCTCTTTTAGGTTATGAGTTTGATAAATCAGAATCACAACTATTACTTAATTATATGTTTCCATTTCTAAATTATTTCATTTAGAGTTTTTCTTATGAACACCATTTATCAGAACTACCTAATTAGATTAAATAAAAATTATACTTATTGATCTTTATCATTTAATATGTTTTTTTTATTTATGTAACGTAAATGCTTCACCTCCTTTTTAATATTGCTATGGTTGACAAATTGATTTTATTTTTTTTAAAACTTTTACTACAAGAAGTAATTAATTATTATTCTTAAAAAATGATTCTTCAATTTCATCTATCATTTTATTTAATAGTTGTTAAGCTTAATCAAAATTTTTTTAATTAGCTTATTATTTTGCTTATCCAATTATATCTCCAGCTTTTGCTCTTAAATAATTAATTTCTACTAATTCATTTTGTTCTGCTAAAACTTACTAATTACTGAATTATAATATTAATTTAGATTATTTTAAAAATTCTGTATTAATTTCAATTAATAATCCTTATAATTCAATTGATAATACATCAGCTTATTATATATCAAATTACTTTGAGCTTGGTATTTCTATTTCTAAAGCAAATTCTATTTTATCTTCTTCAATGATATAATTGAAATTCAATTAATATTGCGAATCATTTATTTTTTACCAAAATAATCATCTCCAAAGATCTTGAATATTTTGAAATTCTGATTGATCTATTTAATATTTAACATTGCATTTTATGCTTTAATTGATAACATACCACTCATAGCTAGAATGAAACACTCTGATAATGTTTAAATGTTATCAATATAAAAAAATTAACCTCCTTTTAGATTTGAAATATGATTTAAGACTTTTAGATCATGATCATTTCCATATCCAAAAGTATTAATTGTAAATGTATCTGTTATTTTAGAAGTATATAAAATTTATTTACATCTTTAATCTTCACCTTTATCATCATCCACACCATCACTTAAAATAAACATATTAGTTATTTAATTTTTATATTTCCTATCTCTAATCATTCTTATACCTAAATTAAACCATTAGCAATTTTTGTAGAATCTCTTATTTTCATATTTTTTATTGCTTTCTTTATTTTATTTTTATTTTCAGGAAGATTTCTAGTCCATGGTAAATTTACATAAGATGAACTTGCAAATGAAACTAAAGCAATTCTATCACCAGAATCAAGGATTTTTTATATATATCTCAATGAGTTTTAAACTAATTTTATTTTTTCACCTTCCATTAAACCACTAACATAATTACACAAATAAGATCTATATTTGTTCTATTCTATGTTTATTAGGCTTTTATAGACTAAAGTTAGATAACTACTGGGCATTATTTGACTTTATTCTTGTAATTATATACTATGTTATCTTGAATATTGAGTTAAATAGTATTTTTATATTCTTCTTTCTTTGCATCTATATCAATATATTCTTATTCCATAGCTTCTACTTTATTTTCACATACTTAATCTTCTAAACTTTAAGCTTCATCTAAGTGCATTCTAATATTTTATCCCTTCTTTTATGGAAAATTGTTTATCTACATCTATTTGAACTAATTATCTGATTATCTTTGATAACTAGAATCTGATGAATCATTTCTAACAACAATGACTATTTTGTAAAAATAAAATTAACTCATATCAACTAGCTAAGAAGGATAAATTCATATTTGGACAATGACTCCTATTGCAAAACCAATAATTATTAAGAAATTTGATGCTCCTTCTTCTTATGTTAGTTGTTTAATTTATAATGAAAGTTTAGATCTTATTATAACTGGAAGTAATAATAATATTCACTTTTGGAAGAATCCAATGAGATGGTTACTAGTTTAATCAATAAATGAACATGAAGGTGCTATATGGGCATTAAGTATTAATTAAAATGAAAATAAACTTATATCTTGTGATTGGGATAGGATGATAATAATTACAGGAAGAAAAAGTGATCAAAATTGAGTTGTATTATAAAAAGTTTTTGTTGAATTTTATGGATATAGACCATGTTTTATTGATGATGATTATTTTATGTATTAACTCAATAAAGGAACAATCATACTTTTTTAAATCTTAGATAATGGAAACGAGATTTAAAATGTTAAAGAAATTGAATTAACATAAAGACAAAAAGAATGTAATGCATTTTTTCGATGTAATTTGAATTCTTTTGAATAAAACAGGTGATACAATAATTATATTAAAATTGAGAGGATAAGAACAAATATAAATTGTTTAATTTATATATTTCGATTCTTTTAATGTTTTTGAAAAGATGAATGATGATAGTAAACTTCTTGCTACTTGGGATGAAAGTTCAAAGAAAATATAGATAAGAAAACTTGTGAATTATTAATAAGAATGAAATTTATTCAAACAATAAGTTTTAATTATTATGTATAATATTATTCCATTAATATTTAATTTATTTCTATGTATTATTATTGTAACTAAAAAATGATTAGATTGAATAAATACTAATTTAACCAAAAAATTAATTGACTTCCAATATATTTGGAGGAATGCACTTGATTTAGATTACTAATTAATGTAGAGGGGTGTTTTTACAACAGAATGGAAATTTGTAAAATAATTTGAAATATTTGCATTTGTAACAAGAATTTTTCATTAAATTAATTAACTTAATTGTTAAAAGGTGTAATAAATTAAACTTATGAATGTTTCACTTATCAGCTACTTTCTCAGTTGATTAATTTCAAACAAAGTATTTCTCCTTTCCCTAGATTTAGTGTATAATATTCCTTTATTTAGTAACCTTACTTTACCTATGCAACTGTTGAATAAATTGTAATTAATTAAGAGACCAATATATATTTAACTATAATAATGCTAGAACACCCTTAAATTATATATTCTATTGATAATTAGAGACTAATTTCTCATAAAGGATTTTTATATGAATTTTTCAACTCTGTATGATCCTCAATGTTTAATATTAAAGGAGGAAGATTATTCTCTTATCAGTTTCTATAACTTCTTATCCTTAAAATCATATTTATTAAGTCTATTTTGGTATGTTTTTAATAGAATAAATCTTGTTTGTATTTCAATTACAGCTAAATTGCTAAATATATTACCAGATATAATTTGCTATGCTATCAAAAATATTAATCGAAAATACTATTCCAATATAAATATATTCATCAAATTTTGGAAATTAGTTTTTAATAACAATAATGAATAGAATAGTATGAAAATATTTTTAATTATTGAATACTAAATGTAATTCTATTCTTGAATTACAAAATTTTGATACTTTGATTATTGGAAGCAGATATAGTTAATATTTATAGTAAGTATTATCATTACAATATTTTATTGTTAAATTAACTAGCAATGAATAAGGAATATAAATTATGAATTTAATAGAAACTTTCACATATCTAATAGAAATATAAATAATTGTTAATCTAATATTAACACTCATAATAATGACTTTTTATTTTGGTATTGGAATTATGCCCAATTAATTTTGAAATGAATGAATTGAAAAAGAATATATATTTAAATATCATCTAACTCTTTAAACATATGATCCATCTAATTTATCAAGATTTTAAGAATAAATTAAACAAATTGTAATTGTCTTTTACTATTATGATGATGTAATATCTCAAGATTGTATAAGAAAACAATAATTTTCTAAGAGTACTTACCTGTAGAATTGATATCTATGAAGGAGATTGTTTTAATGTAAATTAATTAAATTTATAAAAAATATCCATTTCCTTAATTAACTTCTATTAGATTATTAGTTCATATAGGATGGAATCATTATTAAGGTCTTAAATTTCTTTTTTGCCTTCAATATCAGCAATATCTCTTTATTTCTATAAGCTATTAAGCTTTGCTTTGTCTACTAATCTAAAAGATTTAGTCAATAATTGTCAAATCTTTTTGTAATTAATCTTTATGCTCAGTAATATCAGCCAATTTAGTTGACTCTATGATGGTGTAATAATAGAAATCAAACTCCATTTACTGATAAATAACATAATTTAATATTTTAGGATCTTTTTTTAATGCGATATCATATTATTGAATTGCTTCTTTACAGTTTTTAACTCTTTTAATTCAATTTTAATTTATTTTAATCTAAATAATAAAATATCCTAATTTAAATATATTCTATGATTATTTATCTAATTATTAAGCTTTTTTATACATTGTTAAGCTTGATTACATTATTTCAATGTATAAAAACATTAAAATTTCTAAATTAATTCTATATTTGCTAAATCCTAAAAAGTTTTTAAACAAAAATTTATATCAATTTATGCAGCTAATTTAAAGAAGTTAATGCTTGATCAATAGAGCTTAAATCTCAAGAAAAACTAATTTTAAATTTTATTTCTTCAAAAAGATTTATTATAAAATGAAAATACTTAGAAAATTTTTTTTTCACTTTTAGCCATCAATTTAACTTTAGAATTAGTCTAGAATTCATTATAAAGTAGTTATCTTGATGGATAGTTTGAGCAGATGATATTTGAATTTAATTATTAATGGTACATTTAAATTTTATTTTTCAGATCATTCACAATTCATAATAAATTTTATTAATCTCTAACATAAAAGTAAATGTGATTAAAAAATTAAAATGGGTTTTTTATATAAAAAAAACTCAAATTGTATATTATGTTCTTAAATTTTCATAAAATTATACTTTCGATTAGAAAAAGTATATTTAATCTTCTACATTTAAATACCTATTTATTTAATAAGCAAAGTTCTATGAATAATCATGAACCAAATTTTTAGAAATATTTACACTTCAATCTTTTATATTAATTTTCTAAATATTCGAAATAAAGTTTATATATTAAAATTGATTATCTTTTAAATATATTTTAGCAATTAATATGGAGGTCTACATTGAAGTCTATTTGGGGGAAAAGAGCAATTTATTTAAACTACAAAGATGAGAATTATTTAATTTGCGATTATTAAAAATTATTAGATAGGCTACAATAAAATATCTTCTCTAAAATGTTTAAGTTTCAGTTTTCCTTGTTTTATAGAATTAATTCTAAGCTTTTTGCTTTTGTTTTATTTGAAGATCTTCAGCTCTAGGTTTTTTTTATATTTTTAATTGTATTATTTTAGTCATATCTAAAGTAAAATTACTGAAGATAATATGCATTTAATAAGCCTTTAACTACATTAGTGATATACTGAGTATTTTTCTCTCACTATCTTATCAGTAGCTCTGAAATAAAATAATAGTTTTATCAAAAATACAGGGTTCAAACACTTAAATGAATAGATTTATGAATTAAATAAATTTTAAGAATTTAGTATAAAATTTATTTTAAACTACTTTAGCATCTGGTAGTTATGATGAGTCAATCAGATTATGGGATATTAAAACAGGATAATAAAAAGCCAAAATAGATGGTCATAGCGTGGGGAATGTGATTTGTTGCGGTTTAAATGGTATATCTGCTAGGGGGATTTTATTTCTGTTTTTGGCCCTAAGTTAATTGTTCAACTCTCTTATTAATTGTTAAATATTTAGGAATATCATTTGCTCATTATACTAAGTATTCTAAATTTACTGAATTTAAGTTTTTGCCTTTTATTTGTTAATGTTTTATTATTGGTTCCTGTAAAATTTTACTATATGAAAAAAAATGTGCTCAATCAATATGTTTATTTATGATTCTTTGTATGATAGACTTTGAAATTTTAATAGTTTTAATCTCCTTATCTTCATCTTCACAATCGAAATCTCTTATTAAAATATATCATTAATATTGAGTTGATTTATTTATTGATACAGATTCTAAATTTATTGATTTATCTAATTTTTTAAAATATTTTTATTTTAATAAAAAGTATTAATCTTCATAAATAATGGTTGATTAAACTATGATTGGTAGAGCTGTTGATTGTTTCATAAGGTTATCCTTAGTATTTAGGTATACTATAGAACATCAACAGCAGCAACAAAATAAAATAAAAGCTTTTAAAACTTCAGAATCTATGGATTAGGATTTAAGCATGATTCCTTTATTTCTAAATCTAATTTTTAGACTAGTTGTGGATATCCTATTAAAATGAGAGAAGGTATTGCTTTATTATCTTTTGATTTGATTTAATAATTATATATAAAGATTTTTTTGATGTGAATGCTTTATTAAAGAATAAATACTATTTGTTTGATTTTTAAATTGTAATTATTCTTAAATTATCATTATCAATATCATAATCAAATATTAATGTATTCTTTTCAATATCAAATTAAAATTCTGTATTAGATATTATGAAATGTTTATTTCTTTTATTTAAACTACAACTGAAAATTTTCAGTAACAACAATATACATCTAATGTATTAAGACTGTATTTAAATTAATAAAATTACTTCATTCGATAACAAGTGATTCAGAGGTAATTTAAATTATCTAGTCAAAATTTTTCTTCTAAAATTGATTTGAATAATTATTAATTACATTATATCAAAAATCAATTAAATATTATCATTTAAACATAAAGCTATCCTTTATAATCTATAATTTGACATCAGTTACCATTTATTTAAACTTTATAATTATTATAATAAATGATAATTTTAATGATTTACAATCAATTAATTTTCACTGGAATTTATACTTTGAAAGATATTTTCAATTATAATAATAAAAATATTTTTCATTAGTTGGATTTTCCATTTTA